GGGATGCTGGGGCTCAAACGCATGTGGGCCGCGTGCAAGGCAAACGCCCTGCCAGCTGTACTATCGCTTCGACCCTGTTCTGGAAATTTTAAAAACAAAGTTTTCTTTCATTTTCTTTTTATTTTCTTTTTGGTTTTTGGGCCATACCCAGGGTACTGCAGGGCTGCTCCCCATTCTGTGGCTTAGGGGTTCAGTCCTAGTGGTGCTCAGGGGTTAGACTGCTTGTGTTTCAAAACCCATGCTCAGCCGTTGAGCCATCTTTCCGTGGAGCCCGAAGGGTCCAGAAAGGAGATTATACCTTGAGGTCAAAATGTAGCCAAGATTTTTTAAAAGTTGTGGTTTTTTTTTTTTCCGAAGAAGTATTTCTATTTTCTCAGGTTTGGACCTTTCTTGGTTGGGTGGCAACTTAAAGGCAGGGAAGGCCCCCGTGTGGCAGACGACGCTCCCTTGTGTGAATTGCTCAGGTGGGGTGGCTCATGCATCCTGGACTCTGGGGGTAGGTTTGTTGACAAAGCCCTCTTCTGGGATGAAGCTACCTGTGGTTAGATCAGACCTTCATCAGTGATCCTAGATTCTTAGTCTCGGTAACCTTAATGAGAAGGCATGGTGAAAGGGAATTCAGGAGAGGGAATTAATTGAGGGGGGCCAGGATGTGGTGTTCTAATAAGAGTTGTATTCCCTTTATATGTCCCACCTCTTTGCTCCCTGGGTTGGAAACTTGGCCCTTCAGCATCTCCACACCATCAGTTTTCAAAAGGGGCCTGACAAGGGCCAGAGCGATAGTACAACGGGGAGGGCGTTGGCCTTGCACGCAGCTAACCTGGCCTCGATCCCCGGCACCCTGTAGAGTCCCCCAAGCACTGCCAGGAGCGATTCCTGAGCACAGAGCCCAGGAGTAAGCTCTGCACTTCATCAGGTGTGACCCCAAAAGGGAAAGAAGGAAAGCAGGGGGAGGGGGCCGTGACAGGCGTGAGCTTCACAGGGACCCTCCCTGGGGCTCTGGGTGCAGACGGCAGTGGCAGGCTCGCCCTCGTGCCCGTGTGCTTCCAAAGCAAGAGCGAGTTCCTGCTGAGACGCGAGCTGCAGGAGCAGCTCTGGAGGCGAGTGCGAGAGTGGGTTCTCCTGAGTGTCGTGTGAAAGCCCACAAGATGAGGAAGGGTAAGACGAAAGAGTTTACCGTTAAGGAGACGGGCGAGGTCCCGCCCCAGCATACAGACCTCTCCTTTCGCCTGCGTACGTCCAGCAATGCCCCGTCCCCTGTACCATTTCCTGACCCTGCCCCCGCTTGCCCGTGTGTGTGTGTGTGTGTGTGTGTGTGTGTGTGTCTGTGTCTGTGTCTGTGTGTGTGTATATGTGTGTGTGTATGGGGAGTTACTCAATTCAAGGAGAATTGAGCTCATTCTGCAATCTCTCTTTCCTGGTGTGTGTGTGTGTGTGTGTGTGTGTGTGTGTGTGTGTGTGTAGGGGAAGTTACTGATGTGCGGTGAAGGAGGAGAATTGAGCTCATTCTGCAGTATCTCTTTCCCAGTTCCCACTCATTCCTGGGTGCTTTCAGTTCCTTTTTTATTTTTTAACACCCCCCCCCCCCCCATGTGAACCTTCCAAGCCCCTCCTTCTCAGTGCTCCCCCCTTTCCCACTTCCCCCCAGTCTGAGCCTTGGCAGAACAGTGTCACCCACACTTGGGAGGCTGGGGAAAGTGAGGGGGGGACGCTGCTCTCTGAGGGCCCGCACACCCCCTCGCAGATGAGCTGGAGCGAGGGCAACGCTGCAGGGCCGCGCCATCCTGAGCTGCGGGCGGCGGGGCTCTCTGCGCCTTGTGGACCATATGTTTTTACAACTCGAGTAGCTGAGGGAGTGAGAAGAGCCGCCCTCCTGGCCCCCGCCCGCCCCGATCACACACGTGCTGATTCCAGGACTTTGTATTTCGGGTTTTCGCACAGGAGGCTGAGGCCCAGGTTGGCAGCCTGCGTCATGGGCAGGATCCGGGCCTAGTGGATGGAGGGGAACTTTGGGGAATCGCCAAGGAGTCCGCACCCATGTGCCATAGGTCTTTTTTTTTTTTTTTTTTTTTGCTTTTTGGGTCACACCCAGCAATGCTCAGGACTTGCTCCTGGCTTTGCACTCAAGAATCACTCCTGGCAGTGCTCAGGGGACCATATGGGATGCTGGGGATCGAACCCTGGCCTGCCACATGCAAGGCAAATGCCCTACCCGCTGTGCTATCTCTTCAGCCCCATGCCATAGGTCTTTGTCTCTATATGCCTGCCTGCATGGTGACCCAGCTTGGACTGAGGGGCGGGGATGACCTACTGCCTGGAACTCGGGACCCCCGATGTAGCGTCTCCCACGAGGTAGCTGTAGGAAACATGGATGGAGGCCTTGCCAACACTCCCTGGCCAGTTACTGTGTGGGGCAGAGAGCTCGCCTGAGAGTAAATAATTTAGGCTGTGCTGGCCAAACCATCTCTGCCGTCATCACAGATGCACTGTGAGCATGGGAGCAGCCGTCCACGCTGTATCAGTGCGTGGGCTGGTGGTATGCCGGTCAGACTTGATGCGTGACAGAGCTCGAGCTAGATGGAGCCTCTGGGGGGTTCCTTGGTTTAGGGGGATGAAGTAAGGTCTGTGGGACAAGCCATGTTCCCCGAATAAACAGGACAGAGTCTGTCCACCTCTGCCTCTTCTTGTTAAGTCGTCGGGTCATCTGAAATTATGGTGAAATAAATAAGGCCCTTGAAGCCGTCTGCAGTTTGACCCTGACATACCAAAGTTAAACAAAATGTGCTTTGATAATTTCCTAAGTTGCATTCTTGTTAGGTAGCTTTCCCCTTTTTTGGATAGAAGAAAACCTTTTCTTTCACAAGGCTCTTCGTTCAGGAGAGGGTGCTGTGTGTTCCAGACCATAAACACTCTCCTTGGAATTTAAACAAGACAAAGAGGTATTGAGAGATTGTCCTTTTTCTTATCTGGGAAAAACAGATTAAAATTTATGACCTGAGTAGATAATCGGGAGTCTGCAAACAGTATCCATTCTTCACTTGCACAAACTGTTCGTCTACCATATCATAAGTTAATTGATGCAGCGTCAGGTTAAGAAAGGGCCATTTTGGTGAAATGAAATATTACTCTGCTGGTAGCAAGGAGCGTTCTGTAGAAATGTGGAGATGACTGTGAATGGAGGAAACGTGACAGAAACTGACTCCACGTTGACTGGAGCTATAGACAAATCGTCCAGGGCTCGATGATCTTTTTACTGAGTTGGGGTGAAAGGAAGGAGTTCCGACTCCTGTTTTTATTGTTTTTCAGAAAATTTCTGTGTAATTACAAGGTCAGTTAAATATATAAACAGTTTCCAGTTAAGAAAGTTTTAAAATCCCCAGTGGGCTACAGTGTGCAATGGAAAATAATAAACATTTTTCTTTCTTTTGGGGGGCCGTGGGTTGAGCCCCACATGACAGTGCTCAGGACGTACTCCTGGCTCTGTGCTTGGGGATCACTCCCAGATGAGCTGGGGATGCTGGGGATTGAACCTGGGACCATGAGGTGTAAGGCAAACACCCTATCCGCTATAATGTTGCTGAACATTGAAATTTGTAAATCTTTCTGAAGGCAGTGGCTAAGGCAGTGGCTAAGGACCATCCCTCGGTGCTGAGGGGTGCTGAGGGGAGACCAGCAGGCAGGAGGCTGAGGAGGAGGCGCTGTCCCTGACATCTGAATTGGGGGTGGGGGCTCCAGGCTGGCAGCAGGGCTCCCCCCTGTGCCACAGCATCCTCAGACGCTGCTTCATCCCTGCCACACCCCACTCCTGAGGCCTGTGTCTTGGGGTGGACTTCCCTTCCGACCCTTGAGCTCTCTGCAGTCCTTCTAGCCCGTCCTACCACACTTTTCAATTTTTATTTTATTATTATTATTATTATTTTTTTGTAATTTAGTCACCATGAAATTACAAAGTGATTGCTCACGGTTAGGCATGTAATGGTTCGACACCACACTCCCCCCACCCCCCAAATGCCTCCCACCTACCAGTTTGCCTCCATGAGAGAAATTTTTTTTTTTCATGAGGTTTTGTGCTGGGGCCGGAGTGATAGCACAGCAGGCACACGGCACTTGCCTAGCATCCGACTTCAGTCCCCAGCACCCCGTCTGTTCCCTTGAGCCCACCAGGAGTGATCCTTCTGCTCAGAGCCAGGAGTAAGCCCTGAGCGTTGCTGGGTATGGCCCCAACCACCCTGCACCCTCCAAATTAAAAATTTTGCACTGTGGTTTACACTACCGTTGCTGAGGGGATTTTATCCATCACACGTTACCACCTTCCACCTTCCCGCACCATCTTCTCATCCCGGTTGAATCCTCCTTCATCATAGAAGTCACCTTCCTTCCCCCCCCCCGCCCCCATCCCATTCCCCTATCAGCCTATACCTGTCCTATTCTCCAGCCTCCTCAAGTGGCGTGTTTCTTACTGAATACCGGTTCTCATGTTCCTTGTTTCCATTGTCTTTGGGTATTTATTATTCCACCATTACATTTCTCTCTATCTTGCATATGAGAGAGATTATTTTGTGTTGGTCTCTCTCCCTCTGACCAGCCTTCACTTAGCACGATACTCTTCAGGTCCCTTCCTGTCGCAGCAAATCTCATGACTCTTTCCTTTCTCACGACCGAGTAATATTCCATGGTGTGCCTGTGCCAGAGTTTCTTTATCTAGCCACCGACGCTCGGACACTCAGGTTGCTTTCAGCCTTTGGCTCTTGTGTATGGCGCTGTAGGGACCGTGGCTGTGCAGATGTCTCTTCTCCATTTTAATTTTTGAGCCCTTCCACCCCCATGACACTCCTTCCCTGACCTTCTCTGCCCATGGAGCTGTTAGGATCGGGACCAGATCATCGGGCAGTGATCTCTTTGGGTTTTGTTGATCCTAATGTGGTATCTCTCTCTTTTTTTTTCTCTCTCTCTCTCTCTCTCCCCCCCTTTTAAAAATGAAAACAAACCACGGAAACCAGCCGGAGACGGCCGCTGCCCTGAAGCGCACGCTGGAAGCCCTGCTGGACCGGGGGGCCATCGTGCGGGCCCTGGAGAACCTGGGCGAGCGCGCGCTCCCTTACAAGATGCGCGCCCACAGCCAGCGGCACAGCCGGGGAGGGTAAGTGGCTGGTGACCCCTTTGCGAGAAAGGCCCTTTTCTTTTTTATTATTGAATCACCCTCAGATACAGTTATGAAGCTTTGATGTTTGAGTTTTAGTCATACAGTTATCAAACACCCATCCCTCCACCAGTGCACATTCTCCACCTCCAATGTCCTCAGTATACTCCCCCTTTCCAACCCTTCCCCTGCCTCCATGGCAAACAATTTCCCCCACACTCTCTCTCTACTTCTGGGCATTCTGGTTTGCGATACAGATACTGAGAGATTATCACGTCTGGTCCTTTATCTACTCTCAGCACACATCTCCCATCCCGAGCGACCCCTCCAACCCTCATTGACTTAGTGATCCCTTCTCTATTCCAGCTGCCTTCTCCCCCAGCTCATGAGGCAGGCTTCCAACTATGGAGCAATCTACCTGTCCCGTGTATCTACTATCCTTAGGTGTCAGGCTGATGTTATGTTGTTTTATACTTCACAAATGAGTGCAGTCCTTCTGTGTCTGTCCCTCTCTTTCTGATTCATTTCACTTAGCATGATACTCTCCATGACCATCCACTATGTGTCGGGGTGGACTTCCCTTCCAACCCTTGAGCTCTCTGCGGTTCTTCTGCCCTGTCCTATCACACTTCAGTTTTTTTTTTTTTTTTTTTTTTTTTAATAAGCAAAGAGCAAGGCCCTTTTTGCGCAGCCTTTTGAAGGCCCCGTCTGCCCTGGAGAATGACTGTCATTGCACATCCGGGATGTGCCTGGTGGAATCCAACACCAACCTTGAGCCGGTCCAGCCCATGCAGCCATGGTCCCAGGGTGCAGACGGCAGGTAAGCAGGCGGGGAGCGCCGGGCTTCCGAGCTGCTGAAGTGTGGGCGACTTTTCTCTGGTCCCGGGGCCTGTCCTGGCCGTCGTGCGGGCCCCTTCCTCACTGTGGCCCTTGGGAATAACAGTTTCCTGCTGCAGCCAGAATGGACCAATAGCCAAAGTCCGTCATACATGAGGAAAAGGCCTTCCCGTTCCACACAGTGAACACAAGTTCGTTTTGTGGTTTTTTATTTTTTTATGTTTTTTGCTTTTTGTCATACCCGGCAATGCTCAGGGGTTACTTCTGGCTCATGCACTCAGGAATTACTCCTGGTGGTGCTTGGGGGACCATATAAGATGCCAGGGATTGAACCCAGGTTGGTCGTGTGCAAGGCAAATGCCCTCTCTGCTATACTATCACTCCAACCCCCCACTATTTCATTTCGGTTTGTAATGTGCTTCTGCACCCCGCCCTACCCCCCCCCCCACCTCAATGGTACGCAGCCAGTTTCTCATTATGGTCACCAAGGGTTTTGCCGGGTAGCAGCACCGCACCTTCTATTAATCCTGGGGAGGCCAGTTTGTTGGTAGGTTCCAAGCTTCTGCCATCCCGAACGGCACCTCTGTCAGACCCGGGTTTCCAGCTGGAAGGAAGAACCTTCCCGTGTCACTGTGTTTCCAGGGAGCAGGCGATAGGGACTGAGACCAGTGTCAGCCTGGTGGGGAAAGTTCCCGGGCCCAGCCTCCCTCTCCCCGCTTGCCCGCCCCCCAGACCCCTGTCCTTTCTCTTCTCTGATTGCAGCGCCTGGGATGCTGGTCTCAGGACATGGCTCTCCACCCAGCCCCCACCAGTTATGGGCCCAGGAAGACCCTGAGAATGACAGGGCTCTGGACAGCAGGGCTGGCGTCCAGCTGCAGCTGGGGGCTCTGTGGACGGGCACACTACAACTGTGTCTCTGGACAGGTGCCTGTGATTCGCAGCTGGTGCTGAAATGAGCTTCAGCACTGGCCTGAGCAGAGTCACACTGCACACCACGATAGGGGGATGTGTGTGTGGTGCATGTGTGCATGTGTGTGCGCATGCTGTGGGGTGGGAGGCGTGTCCTTGGCCTTCGAGGCCCACCGTGCATATTTCGTTCTTTGATCGGTTCCCCTGGTTGCCGGCCAGTAACCCCTGAAGAGTGTGTGGGAGGCGTTGCTAGGCAACATGGGAGGCATCGTGGCTGGCCGTGTGGAGGGGAGTGGAGGGGGGCGGGCTGGAGGTCACCCGGGCAGCATTTCTGAGCCTTACCCACACCCCACGCGGCGGCTCGGGGGAATGGCGAGGAGGGCTCTGAGTCATGGGCTTGTTGTGTTTCCAAGGATCCTGTAAATCCAGGCCGGGCCCCCAGCGGCCCCTTACCCAGGTGCAGGATTTGGCTTCACCCCAGCCTGGTGTGACCAGCAGCCCAGAGTCCAGCCTCATGTCTGGTCTCCAGGTGTCTGGCTGCCCCGTCCAGCAAGGTGGTGCTAATGTCCCGGGTTGGGTGGATGGCGCAAGGTCCTGGCCCTGCACCGCCGCAGACAGCCCCCGCCCCACCTTCCCGGGCCTGCAGGGAGTGTGTCGCTGTCCCATCACTCATCTTCACGTTGGGCTTGTGTTTGTGGTTCTTTTCCTTCTGGGCTTCCCTGCAGGGGAGAGAAGCGACGTCCCCGGGTGTGTTATATGGACCCATTAAGTGGAGACACAGTCGGGGATTTCAATTGTCCAGTGAGCCAGGGGATTCTTACTTCAAGCTTGTTTTGCTTTTCCTGGGTTTTTGGGTTTGTTTTGTTCTGTTTGGGTGCCACACCTGGCATGCTCAGGGCTCTGCTACACTCAGGGATCACTCATGGTGGGACTCTGGGGACCATGTGGGTAGTGGAGATTAAACCCGGGTCCACAGCAGGCCAGGGCGAACGCTCTGCCCACTGTACCATCTCTCCAGTCACTTTCAGCTTATTTTTCTGTGATAAATTTGTGTTCTTTATCAAAGGGTGATCATTGAGTCACAAGTCATATCACTAGTCATATGGATATGCTTCTCCTGGAAGTGGAATGAGTGTGTATGTATGCATGTGTGTGTGTGTGTGTGTGTGTGTGTGTGTGTGTGTGTGATGTGAGGAGTCTTACATCATCTCATCCCTTCTAGATGTAGCTAATGCACATTAGCCGATAAACGGGCGAGACGCCTTTCAGCGGCGCATCCTCTGTTACCAGTTTTATTTGACCGCACTGCACTGCCTTCTGTTCCGATTGTACTTCCCAGCCGTCTTCACGGAACTTCCGCTCAGTGCCCAGCGGAGGTGGGGTCGGGCTAGTTGCCCCCTGGCAGTGAGGGGTGATGGTTCGCACAGTGGAGGCAGAGGGCAGACGATGTTTCCTCGGCTCCCGCCCGGCCATTCACCCTGCAGGGGTTTGTACTGGGCGTTTGGCTGGTTTGGTGAAGGTGTGAGAGACACGCAGTCAGTGTCTCCCGTGGCTGGGGTGCTCGGCCCTGGGCGTGCCCGCACTTTGGGAGTGATGAAGAAGGGACAAGGGATTTTTTTTTTTGCTTTTTGGGTCTCACCCAGAGATGCACACGGGTTACTCCTGGCTTTGCACTGAGGCATTACTCCTGGTGGTGCTCAGGGAACCATATGGGATGCTGGGAATCGAACTCGGGTCAGCCATATGCAAGGCAAATGCCCTACCCGCTGTGCTATAGTTCCAGCCCTGAAACAGGGGATTTGAACCTTGTCTGGTGCAGCCTTTCAGATGTTTGCAGCGCTGTTTCAGCAGGCCTATATTTATGTCAAATGTAACAGGCATTTGTAGTTTTGGGGAGGCACTGATTTGGGGGTGTGGGGTGCAAGAGCCCTCCCCTTTTAAAATTTTTTTATTTAGTATACATATATATATATATATCTTAATACTTTATTTAAACACCGTGGTTTACGGATTGTTCATAGTCCAGTTGATTTGGGCATTGGATGTTCCAGCAGCAATCCCCCCACTTGAGGGGTCTTCCCTCCAGCCTGGTCCCCTTTTACCTCAGCCACAACCCTGAAGCTTGCCCCCTTAGCAGGCATACAGCAGTGATTTGTGCTATGCATGGCTTGACAGCTGAATGGCTAAAGGAATTGTCAAAGATGCTTCAGTAGGGGCCAGAGTGATAGTACAGTGGTAGGGCTTTTGCCGTGCACGTGGCCGACCCGGGTTTGATTCCCAGCATCCCATATGGTTCCCGAGCATCACCAGGAGTAATTCCTGAGTGCAGAGCCAGGAGTAACCCTGTGATCGTCGGGTGTGACGGGAATGAGACCCGAGCCTCTCACTGGACTCCAGCCCACTGTGCTCTCTCCAGCCCTCCAGGGGGTGCTGGCGACTGTCGAGGTTCTCCAGTCTCTAGGATTTGACTGTGTGGGGCACACGGGAGCCTACAGGGTCACCTGCCCAGACTGAACCTCGCCTCCCTGTTGCAATCACTTCCGAGATGTCTGCTTTTGCCGCCCTGTTCACAAGCCCGAGTAAGCCAGAGACAGGTGAGAACAGAGTGTCCCAGTGACTTGAAGGGGTCACTGGTGTGCGTTGGTATATCAGATGTATGCCTGCCCCCTACTCCAGATGTGGTCATTATATGCCCAACTCATTAACATGGTCAGTTCCTACTGTTTTTTCCCCCTCTCTCCCAGAAACGTGTGAATCTGTGAGTTCACTTGCCCCACCAGAGTCCCTGAGGGTGACGCTCCCAGAGTGATGTACAGAAGCTGGGCAGGCCACTTCTCCACAGCTGGGCGGCGTTTTAAAGTGTTACTACGAGAGGGGCTAGAGCCATTTCACCGTGGAGAGGGCGCTTGCCTTGCACCCGGCTCTACCGGTTTGGTCCCCCCCGCATCCCAGATGGTTCCCCGAGCCTACCAGGAGTGATCCCTGAACACAGGGCCAGGAGTAAGCACTGAGCACAGAGCCAGGAGTGAGCCCTGAGCACAGAGCCAGGAGTACGTCCTCAAGTGCTGGCCGCTGTGTATTCCACCAGGCCTCCCGGTGGAGCTTGGGGGCGGGGTGGGTGAGGGTTCACTTTTTCAGGACAGGACTGTCTCTGATCCCTATGATGCCTCTGCACCCCTTTCCCTGGCGCAGTTGCTGCCCCCTGTCAGCTGTCCCCTGGGTGGTGTGAATTTAGAGGCCTCCCCCCTCCCCCC